TGAATCAGGTGTGTTGGAGCAGGAAACATGTGAAATATGTAGGGCTGCAGCCCTTCAGGAGTCACTTGTTGTAAAACTGAACCTCTGTTTAGTTTTCATCTTTCAGGAACATTTTCTGCCTCRGATGAAAAGGAGTGAAAACATGAAGCAATAAACAAAAAGTGACACTGAAAAAAAAACCTTTACTTTCCTGCTGACGTCACTTTAAAAAGCTGAACAGAGTGGAGCCTGAAGCTGTGATGACTTTAGTTTCCCACCAGAGGGCAGTAACTCCCCACAGACTGACACACAGTCACAGCTCCTGCTGCTGAAGATTCTTCTTCTTTAACATTTCAGTTCATTTCTTAACACTAAAACTAAAAACAATATTATTTATGCTGGGTTTTATTTGAAAACATATTAAAAGTTCACAATTTTGTGTTAAAAACTGTTTTTTTTATAGATTTAAGGAGAATAAGGGGCAGTTTTATTTTCTTCACTCTGCACCTTTTTATTCAGAACTTTTCTTTTTATTATTGTGAGTAGATATTTTGTGTTTTATTTTTGAGTGAAACACATTTTTTAATAAAATAAGGAGCAATTTAAGTTTAATTCTAACTCTTAGAATAGAATAGAATAGAATAGAATAGAATAGAACGCCTTTATTGTCATTACACATGTGCTTAACGAGATTAGAGCCACTCCCACAGTAGAGCAAATACACATTAAATTATTTGTTTTTACATTATTTATTTATTTTACATTATTTATTACATTTTATTGATAAGTCTTGATGAATGTTTGAAAGAAACAGTTAAAACGATGAAAAAATGACTGTTTGTAGTTTGAAATGTTTAATTTGTGTATAAATGCTAACTGTTTCCTACAATAGGTTAGCATCTACGCTAACTGAAATGGTTTGTTGACAAGATATTTTGCACTCCTTAGGGATAAAATATACAAATCTGCTTGATTACGTAGTTAAATTAGTATTTCTGTTTCTCTGTTTTAATGATAAAACTCTGATTTGTACCTTTAAGAGCCTCTTTAATTAAACTGATGTTAAATGAAGCYGTGACAAAAAGAATAAAAATCTGAWTTGTATCATTTCCTGTGGCGTCTTTAAACAAAAAGACGTTTGTGTTTTCAAACTGCAGAGAAATGCAGACTTTAATAATTGTGTCCAGAGGAGTGGAGGCAGTAAACTGGTGAAGCTGGCTGCAGGTGGGACTAATCCTGCCTGATGAGACAAACATGGAGCTGCGGGGGGATTACAGCTAATAAGTCCCGTTTTGACCCAGAATGCTGACTTTGTTGGTTTTCTGCTGGGAACCAAATGAACCGAGGACTCTGAGGCCGACCCGCTCCGTCTGAACCGGCAGAACTAAGAAGGTCTAACAGCTCAAACATAAACAGTTCGTTTTATTTTTTTAAAGGGATTAAAGACAAATATTTTTGGCCAAATGAAGCCTCACACAGAGCCTAATWAACTCCTGAGAAAATATCAATAAAAGCTTTGCAGCAGCTCATCTGGAGACGTTTACAGCTGATTTATTGACACGTGGACTKGTTCTCTGTGCAGCTGACCTTGAGAAACTAATTAATCTGTTTTGCATTTTTAGTTTTCTGCTGTGTAAAGTCAGAGGTGGAGAGGTTCTTCACCTTCCAGACGTGACGTGCGCAGAAAAACAAACGRTTAACAAAACTGAATGTTTTAAAGCAGATACATGGAGACTTGCAAACACAAACTGCAGAATGTAGCTCCGAATCTGTCAGATTAATCATCGTTGTGAGTTTTCTAAGTTGTCTCTGCGTGGATTAAAGTGATCCCTGATTAGTTACAACATTAGACTTTATTTAATAAATATATATTTTAACTTTAAAATAAAGACTGTAAAAATGTAGGCTGTTTAGTTTTTATAATTTTTTAACTAAAAGTTTTTGAATATTTTTTACATGAACGGGGCCATTTTATTTGCACACAA